TATATACACATATGTGGATATGTACATGTTCCTTTAAATACATGTGCATGTCTTAGTGTATGTTTCTATACACACATCCACATGTGGGATGATCAGCAGCAGGATGATATCAACCTTCTTTGGAGGACTGTTTCCACACTGGCTTCAACTCTCTCCTTTGACATCCTCCATATTTTTCCCTCCCACAGGTTTTTACAATGTTTCTCTCAAGCATTATTAATTCCATCAAACACCATACTGTCAAGATTTATGCTTCTCCACATGGCTGCAACCCAACACATCTTGTATTGATTATTTCCTAAAATACCTCCAGGCTCTCGCAGAAACCATCGCGTGGCTCCAGCCTGGGATCGCACTGAAGAGTCGGTTACAAGCGGATAATGAAAAACAACTGTAGCAGATATCGGCGGACTCTTTCAAATGGCCCAGTGTCCTCTGTCTCACCAATCCTCAGAACGACCCTGACCCCACATAAAAGATGGAAAAGCCTATGCTCAGGGAAATCAAGTGACTTTACCCAACCAGAGTTACCTGGTGAACGTCGCAAGGGTCAGAAACCATAGCTTCGGAGCTCTTCTGAGGACATCTTGCGACCGCTGCCCTTCATTGTTAAGAGCTCTGGTGGCCCAGTCTTCACCACTTTATTTTTTTACCACCAGAGAGCACTCAACACCGTTGTGTCAAGGTGTCCCCGTGTCACCTCCTGAGTCGTGCTATCTACAGTCACATGAACAAACATCCCTTTGCTTTCCACCATTTGCTCTGCTTTTTCTAAACCCAAACCATTAAAGTGTGTGCGTAGTGGCACATGCCTGAAATCCCAGCACACAGGAGGCAGAGGAAAAATCCAGGTCAGCCTGGTCCGCATAGAAATTCCACGCCAGTCAGGGCTACATAGAAAAACCCTGTCTCTAAATAATTATTAGATAGATAGATGATAGATGATAGACAGACAGACAGATAGATAGATAGTAAACCCCTTAGAAATACCGAGTGCAGATGGCTTCCTTCATTCTGATAACTCACGCTATTGATACAAGAATATAATTTTGTTACTAGTAACATCCAGTTGTGGCCATTTTCTCTCCCGAGTTTGAAACTAACTGCAAGCACATGTGTTGAATTCATCCATCTTGGAGCATTTGAAATGGTTTCTTATGCTGACTTTCCTTCCCCTGTCTCTACAGGAGACAGCCATGGTTATGATTAGAGCTGATGGGAAATGTCAGTGGAGGTTTGCCATTCCCTGGTGTTAACTCGAGTGTGCACTGGAGCTGGTTCATTTTCAAAAAGTCAGATCAAAGTCCCGAAACCTGGACTGGGTTCCGTTTGATTGACCGTATTGCTGGCATATATTTCTAACAAACATCATCTACACATATAAATTCTCTTTTTTTCTTGACTTTGATTGGCTAATTGTTTAATTAATATTCATTATTGTCAAATTTATCCTGTCATTAAATTGGCAGCACTAGCTGGACTGTCTATGTTGATTGTGATCAATCATTAGTCAATGTGGTCTTTGCCTCCTTTTTAATATGTCTGCTGTGTCAATAGCTACCTTCATTCACATTTGATATATTCAAACCCAACTCAATGATTATAGAGTCATGTAAATTGATCATCATTTGAAATGATAGTAAATCCATAAATGTACAGCCAATAATTCAAACTTTTATGATATCTGAACTTGCAGCCCATGCCATCAAATGTGTCTGCGTAGTCACTTTCAAACAGAAGGAAGACAGTTTGTCCTAAAATACTCTCTTTCAAGGCATTTACGTGGCAGATCTCTAAGCTGTGATATTCTGCTACAAATTCTGGGAAGAAAAAGGTCTTATTAACCCAGAGACGTCCCTGAAACACATGTATATTTCCTCAATGAACGTCAACAAGGTCCAGAACTATTGGAAGTGTGGAATCTGCATTGCCTTCCCTCAGATGTTAACATGCCCACAAGGACCCTCTGCACCCACAGGCAGCCTACAGTAGCTGTAAATTCGGGCACTTTTAGTACTGTTTCGTCTCGAAGGCGCAGCCTTCTGTAGGCCTTGCTTTTCCACCTGTGGGCTGACGGAGGCCAGCGGAGCAGCCTGCACACAAGACTGCCATTTGCGCACAGAGCAAGGGCATTGTTGTTTTATAGCATTTGGGGTGTTCCACATCCATGAAGCAGAAATTGGGGCCTGCCATGGGCACCTATTCTTGTGTTTCTTCTACTTTTCCAGAGAAGGATGAAGGAGATCGTTTGTGAGAGGCATGTCCTCATGAGAGGTCATCATCAATTTTCCATTTTTAATGAAGACCAATTTATCACCTTTAGCTTGTGCACATTCAGTAGGGCCTAGAGAGTATGCTCTCCCCCTCCCTCCTTCCTCCTTCCTCCCACTCCCTCAGGAACTCTTGCTTGTCCTAAAGTCAACAAGATAATCTTTGCTCTTCTGTGAGCTGATTTTAAAATCTGTGTTCTAAAAAGCTATATAATACACCTCAAATTACTTTTGCATGTGGTATGAGGTGGGGATCTAGGTTTTCTTTTTTTCTATTTGCTTCAGCATCATTTATCACAAAGATATTTCTTTTCTTGTTGAGTTGCCTTGGCAACACTATCAAAAATAAATCAATTGATCAAATGTACATTTCTGTCAGGGCGCTCTATTCGGTTCCCTTGATATGTCTGTCTTTTTATCAGAGACATAATCTTAGACGCTTTTTAATGAGCCTTGAAATCATGTAATGAGAGGCCACCAGCTTGGCTCTGTTACAGAATTGTGTTAACCATTCTAGGTCCTTTGCACATCCATATGTGTTTGGAATCAACCAGTAAATTGTGATGATGCCACCAGACACCTCCAAAATCAGCCTCATGTCATGCCTTTCCCGACGAGAGCCTTCAATGACTCCAGTTACCATCTCAAGAAAATCTGATCATCTCAGTGTAGCCTCTCTGTCTGGCTTTCATGTCCCATGATGGTTACTGGGATCACAGTGTAGAGTGTCCGAACAGAGTGCTGGAAACATTTGGTAACAAAGACTAACTGTGTACTTCATGTACTTCTCCTCCCAGGAACTTTTGGCTACTCCAGAAGAAGCCAGTACAGGGCTGATAAAAGTGGCATTCCCATGGCTTTATCTAAGGCTAGTTTTCATTTCATGAACACATTACTGCGGTATTCTGACAAAATAAGATTCTTCCAAATTCTTACCTCAAAATGATATGCATTCCCTTGGCAACAGATGCTTCCTAAGTCCCTACCCACGTACCTACATTTGGAAATTTTTCCAGCTAAAGAATAATCACAGAATTAGTCAATACTGACAGCATGTAATAATGAATTTCTCTATTGGCCTTACCAGCTCAATACATGAGGTTTCTTTCTTGTGAATGCAAACTAAGGCATCTGACAATAGTCTCAATGGAAATTAATGATTGCTCATCCATTTTTGTCCAAGGACAAAAATTGCTTAAGTCACTGCACATTTTGAAAGATGAAAAGATTGCTTCCTAAAAACTCGATAGTA